GGAAGCTTCTGGGCCCAGGCCAAGGCAGCCAGGCTGCGTGAGCAGGCCAACTCTTTCCATAAAGGAAAGAGCTCGGCCCTGGCTGCCTCATTCAGGCACTCACATGCTGGGCGGCAGCGCTGCTGGAGCTTATGCTCGTAGGCTGCTGCTAGCGCTGAGGGGCGAGGTGCAGCACGTGCGGTCGTGCAGAGGAGGAGGGCGCTGCTGAGGGCAGCGCCATAGCCCAGCCACCATAGCTGGTGGGCTTGGACTATAGTGAAGCGCAGGGGTGGTCTTCGGGTGATAGAGAGGACAAGTGTGGGTGAAGTCAGGGGATAGGTGAAGGATGATGATGATGATGATGATGTGAGGGCACATACCTTGTATTGGCGATGGTCTGCATGGGCGGCATCTTCAAGTACTTCGGGCTGCTGCTGATTTCAACAGTTGCATTGTCTTTTTGTAGTCTGTAGTAGCTGTGTAGTAGTAGGCTGGGCGCTGAGCGCCAAGTGTGAGTGTAAGGGAACTGGACTCTTGTGTTGAGAGGAGAGAGTGTGCTCTCCACGGACATTGGTTTTCAGTGCTACGAAACTCCATTGGTGTATTATTGGTGCAATGCTGCTAGCTGGACACGGTGTGACTATTTGACTTGCAATGTGATGGTGTGATCTGGGATTGTCATCTCGCTGTTGCTTATTTTCCTTGCACATTAGTGGTCTATCAGCAAATGCAACTATGCTTGGATGAATGAATTGAATGGCGTGAAATGCTTCAACAACGCAGTCTTTTTTTTTTCTTCTTCTTCTTCTTTTTTTTCTTTTTTTGATTCTAAAAGCTATATTCTTCTCTCAATTTCACCTCACACTACCTACCTAGTACCTACCACTACTCCCAATTGTAGGCATACGGGGAACCCGTAGCAGCCAGAACCGTGTTCACCACAGATCAGATCAGATATTAAACTGATCAGAACCAGATACTACACTTGATCTTGCTTACACCAAAAGGATGAGAAATTATTTTGCGGATGAAAAGTGAAATGATGATACTCTTTTTTTTTTTTTTTCCTACCTTCATGCCGATTTGGTCGAACTGTCGTTTGCCAATCGAATTCAGGTCAAAGCAGTCCTGAGTACCGGAGAGTTTATCGCATTCTTTTCGTACATGAAGTCGATGAAGCAGGGGTGCGAGGGCGGTATGGAATCTGTTCTTCAGAAGGTGGCCTCCCTCTTTTCTGTACCGGAGCGATACTCCTTGTTGGAGAGGTAACGAGTTCAGCATCATCCGCTTTCCTTTTCGCTCTTCCAATGCTTTGATGGCTATGGGAAGGAATTAAGCAAGTGGAGGAATAAGTTGGGGCTGGGGGGACGATTCTGTGATGGCTGTTCTATATCCTTTGCTCTGTGGAGAAAGTTGAAGAGGGGAGAAGAAATGGGGAAAATGAAGGAAGAAGTCGAAGAGGGGATGCGCTTCAGCACATCCATAGAACTGGAACGATACAGATGGCCCAAGCGTGTGACTGCGTTAAGTAGCGGTGCTGGGTCACGTGCTGTTGGAGCGAAATGTGTGTGAATTGCCGTGTCCGTGTGGTGGTGTGTGTGGGGCATGTGTGGTGTGTGTGGTGTGTGTGGTGTGTGGGTGCGTTGGACACTACAGCCCTGCAGTGGTGGGGTGGATGTCATGACCGGTATGGTCCACTACGATTCGAGGCCGTTGGGGCTGTAGCGGTTAAGAAACTTGGTTCCTGTGGCCGAGGCTGCCGATTCAAGGCCGTGGGTGCACAGCGGGGCCTGATGCCCCAAAGCACGGATCAGAATCTACGGAGTAAATTAGCATGGCCCCTGCACAAGAAACGGAAAAGAAAGAAAGGTCGAAGAGGGGAGAGAGAGAGAGAGAGAGAGAGAGAGAGAGAGAGAGAGAGAGAGAGAGAGAGAGAGAGAGAGAGAGAGAGAGAGAGAGAGAGAGAG